TCATAAAAACTCCATGATGAAGTAAATTCCTTAAAGCAATTCATCTACAAGAAAGAAAATATTGGAGAATCACATCAAGCTTCATTTCAAATATTCTTTGATGTAAACCTAAATTTCAGTGTGTGTATTCTACTTAGTGAGAAGATTATTTATAAACACAATTAAGTTAATTAAAAATTATTGTTGTAAATGTGCCTTAAAACCTTTGTTGATGAAGAGAAAGAAAACATATTTTGGAGATTGCATTTACTGCGAAAATCGGATGAGATGTCCAGGAAAAAAATCGGTCGGTGAATAGTATCGTCCGTATAATGAATAGTACCGTCCATACGAATGAATAGTGACGGTCCTACGGTGAATAGTGGTGTCCGTATGGTGAGTAGTATTTTCGAGTTTTCAGGCTTTTTTCGATTCGGTCCATGGATTCATGTAATTTTTGGCTTTGTTTGTTGGATATTTGTTATTATAAATATGTATCTCTTATATGTTTGGTGTGTGACAAATCTTAGAGTTTTCACCAACAAGGGAAACCAAGGGTTTAAAGGTATAACATATAGTTTCAGCTATGCACAAAGAAAACCTTGGATTACACCTTGGGTTTGAGTGATTCACATATTGAGAGTTTGAGGTAGGTAACAATTGGGTAGAAAATATTCTTGGGCGCCTTCAGGGTTGTTCTTGCGAACCTGAAGGCGAAGGTTATTTTATTGTAACTCATCTGTAATCTTTTGTAACAACTTTCTGAGTATAGTGAATTAGAGAGCTGCTCTCTCCCCTAGAGTAGATCGTTTGATCGAACTGGGTAAACAAACATTCAGTTTTTTCTTACCTTATTCTGTTATATTATCTGTGTACGAATTGTTATTGTTGAAGATCATTTATTTTGGTTGCTATTGTTCTTTGCCTCAAAAATTGATATAGAATTTTGTCGTAATTCACAACAAGATTCACAAAATTATTAATTTCCTTTAAAGACTAAGTTTAGTCATAATTCTCAAGAAGTCATTGACAAACAATCTTTGAGTTGTATTGCCTTGAGAGACTAAGGTATAGTAATAATTCTCAAGAAGTATTAGGCAATTCATCTTTGAGTTGTATAATCAGTTTGATTATTGAATTAAGTCCTTATTGAGAAGGAGAAATCACTCAGATGGGTGGACTGGAAATAGCTTCGTTAACAGCAAACCAGGATAAAAAATACTTGTGTTTTTATCTTTATCAATATCTTTTCTATTTGAGATATTCGGTTGCAAAATTTTTAAATCCAGAAACTCAATTCACCCCCCCCCTTTCTTGTGTTTCTTGCACCTTCAAGCTTTTCGACCTCTTTTATGACAACAAAGATATCTCCCTTTTCACCTTATGTGATGTTCCTACCATCTGCAAACTTTTATTACCATTAATGTGGTTATTGCATCCTAACTCCACGTACCACATCTTGGTTTGCTCAGTGTTCGAATGAGTGATGGTCATGAGTAGCACATCATTAGAATCACTATCTTCAGCATGTGCATACTGCACCTCATCGCTATCTTTCGCTGGTGTTTCTTTCTTCCTTCGACAGTCTCGACAAACATAATGGCCAAATCCTTGACAGTTGTAACACTGCACCTCATTCATGTCAACTTTCTTCCAAGAATATTTATTTCCCATGCCTTTCTTGGTTGAATCAAAGTGATTCTTTGAATTCTTACTTGACTTCTCATCATTAGCAAGATTCTTTCCCTGCTTCGCTTTCTCTTCCCCGATTTTCTTGATGAATCTTGCTTGTAGCGCCTGTTAAGCCATATTTTCCCTTTCTGAGTGCCTCTGCTTCAACCTCATCTCATGAGCATCTAATGAAGTTCGAAGTTCCTCTTACTTCATCTCAATTAGGTTCTTGTACTCTTCAATTGACACTATAATATAATCAAAATTCCCAGAGATCTAAACACTTTCTCATTCTTCTGCAAATCGTTGATTGATTCACCATACACTTTCATCTGGTTTGTTAACAACACTACACGTGAACGATATTTCGAGACTAATTCATATTCCTCCATCTGAGTTATCTCGAATTACTTTCTCAACGTGTACAACTTCACCCTTTTCAGTTTTTTATCTCCGTCGTACAAGTTCTTCAACTTGTCTCACACTTCTTTGGTCGTTTATTCTTCAATTATCCTCTCGAACACATTAGGATGCACACACTGGTGAATCAAGAACAAACCTTTTCGATCTTTCTTCCTTTGATCCTTGTGTGCAGCTTTTTGAACATCATCTGCATTCATTTTCAATGTCGGTACTCCATCATTCACGATTTGAGACACACCTTGAAATCTAAAGATGACTTTCATCTGTGCAACCCACTGTTTCTAGTTCTCATCTTTGAAAACCGATAAATTCGCTGGAAATTATGTTAATGTTATGTTTTTGTTTGTCATTACAAATTCTCTCTAAATTTACTTCTTGATACCAATTTGTTGGAACAAGAGAGTTTTCAAGAAAGATGAGAGTAAACGAAGAGGAGAGAAAATAGAGAAAAACTATAAACTGATTTAGTGAAAGTAAAATCTTTATTGAGTGAAGTTATTATTATTTACACCATATCATACCCTTTATATAGACAATAAAAAGTCAGGCCCAAAACTTACAAATCAACCCAAATCCAAAATATACAAGTTATATTTTGACTTCGACACAACAACTTAAATGTGAAATTCGACTTTAATAAATACATCTAACTCTTATATATTTGACATAATCCAATGATAGCTTTGGACAAAACATTAAATTACAACTTTTAAAAATGATTTATATACTTGACCAGGTTTCAGAATATGGTAGTTGTTCTGGTCTGGGCCCAGCCTCGCGGTCCAGCCCAATAACGCACAAGACCCAATAAGTGGAATAGCTTGACCGGGCGCACATCCCCCATCGGACGGGCAGGATACGCTCCCTGCCAAGCGGGATGGCGCGCCTCGAAGTGTCCTCGGCGCTCCCCTTAGCCGGACCGAACAACTTCCTCGGGCAGAATCCCCTTGCCAACGGGCATGGCGATTCGTCTTCTCCGCTCTCGTGTGCTTTCCCCCCCGGGGAGAGACACACACCGCCCGGGAATCCCACGAGCTCACCTCCGCGGGGAGAACCTCGCGCTCTCAGGGAGTCCCACGGCCTCCTCTCCGCGGGGAGAACAACGTGCCTTGTGCGCGGTCTCCACGTGCTCCCCTCCGTGGGGACACGTCACCAACCAACTGCCCACCTCCGAAAGAGCAGGTCAAACCCACTTTCTGGAGACCACGGGACAGTTGGACTAGGGCGAAGACCACGTCCTGGTCTTCTCTACACCACGTAAGCCCTAGCAGTCACCTGATTTAGGCCTGGCCATCCAGCCCAACACAAGTGACCGTTGGCCCAGCGCTGGGGTCTCTCTATAAATACCCTCTTCCTCAAGAGGGTCAGGTATTCACTCCTTACCCCTTTTTTTGTACTTCGCCTTCACTCTGCCCAATTCCTTATTTTGGCATCGGAGTGTCTTGCAGGTACACCCCCCTCCTCATCATCATCATCGGTGAACAGGTAGCAGCCCAACAGCGTGTGGCCAGCCCGCAATCCCCTTCTGATCAGGTCAGATCAATAGTTAATTGAAAAAATTATATCACCATGATCAAGACTGTGTTTTTTTCAAGAGTAAAAAAACAAACTTCAGCATACTTAAAATTTTTGATGACTCCTAAAGCTCGTACCATCAAAGAAGCTGTGTGGCAGCTTCCAATTTGCAAACCATGTGGAACAATTCATAGGTGTGCTCAAAACCATGAACTTCATTGTCATTGACATTTTTTTAAGGGTTATTTTTTTTGAATAATTTTTTATTTTTTTATTGTCACTAAGGTAATATTAAATACATTTTTGTTAAAATTATTTTTAAATAATTATTATAAATAAAAAAAGTATAAAATGAATATAATAAATAATTATAAGTATTATAGATAAAAATAAAATTATTATATAAAAAGTAACAATATTGATTAACTTTTTTGATATATGTAAAAAATTAAAAAGTGATATTTCAAAATGAACCAAGGGAGTATAAACATGTTTCATTGGAAGAGATACCTCTAGAATAAGTGGAAATGTTTTTTAAATATATATTTTTATAGTATTTATAATTTATATGTGGTTTTGTGATTAATTGCTCCATTCTTGTCCAAAAGATTAATTAAAATGGTTTAAATACGAGATTGAAATTAAAACAAAGGATAAAGACAAAAATCTAATATCATAATAATGTCTCCAAGAATGACCCATTTTAATGCCAACTCAATTGAAATAAATACTAGTACTCTTTTTATTCAAAAAAAAAAATTCTTTTAAAATTCAATAAATAATTAATATATTTAGCTTATATGTAGTCTATATACATTGATTTTTCAATAAATAAAATCTATTTTTTATTAAAGACTAGAGGAATTGGTAAACAATTTAAATAATAAAACATTACCTCCTAAAAAAGGTAGAGTTAACATATCAAATTTGAAATAATAAGGCTATTTAATTAAGCAAAAACAGAAATTTATGTTAAAGGTAATACTAATATTTTTGTCAATCTAAACTTTTATGTAAAAGATATGGCCACACAACCAATAAAAGGCTAAATCAAAATGTAATAGGTATTTTTATCAATATTGGAAATTTATATATATATATATATATATATATATATATATATATATATATATATATATATATATATATATATATATATATATATATATATATATATATATATATATATATATATATATATATATATATATATATATATATATATATATATATATATATATATATATATATATATATATATATATATATATATATATATATATATATATATATATATATATATATATATATATATATATTGTGTAGTATATATACCTAACTTATCATGATTAACTCACACCAACACAATTTGTGAAGTTTAAGAAAATCATAGTTAAAATACAAACAACATAATGAAACTTCAATTTGTTATTCTTATTACTCTCGCTGTTGTTTTGGTCTCTGCAACCATGAATCAAGCTCTAAGCTCCAATGGTGTGAGTCCTATCAATGTCAATGATCCACATGTGATTGATATCGCCAAATTTGCTGTTAATGAGCACAACAAAGAAAGTAAAACGACCAAACTAAAATTTGAGAAAATCTTAAATGGTGTTCCTAAGACGACGTCTGCCGGGACTATTTACCGTTTTACCCTTTCTGCCACTGATGGTTCAGCTTCTAACCAATATGGAGCTGTTGTGTTGGAGGATCCACAGCACTCTTTGAAACTCATACATTTTGCAGCTATTCATGACTGAGTTGTTAAATGGTTGTTATCATTGTATCAATAAAGTTTATGTTTGGTATTTCAGTAATGGATTGTTGATTAATAAATTATAAGATCTTGAACCTTTGTTTGAGCTTCCTTGTGATTATTCTTTTTCAAGAAAGTTAAATATTGGTATAAAATGATCACTAATTTTACTCTAGTAAGAATTTATCAAATAACAACAATAACCACCTTTATACATTATTGTCAGGCCATTGGTTTAAAGATTTCTTAATTATTTTTACAATATTATATATTATAATTACTTAAAATATTACAAAGATTTTTTTAAAAAAATTCTTAAAAAATGGTTTAAATAGTTTTTTTTATGAATGTTATTTTAAATACATTATTGTCTTGATAATTTTCATTGTTGAAAAATATCTTTCTGTAGTAGTTGTAGATATAGGGAGAGTCATGATAAGGCGGAGTAGTCTATCAATCAAATAGTATATTTCTTTTTTTTCAGCTGCAACCAAATATGAACATAATTCTTGAATAGTTGACAAATTATTCAAACTCGATGCTTGACGAGCGTCAATAATAAAATTTCGAAGTTGAAGTTTCAGATTAGTCTTCTCTTGCTCATTGAATTCCATAGGATAATATTTTTCAACTAGATGGAAAATAGAGGTTAAAAGCCTTATAATTATCCTTGGGAGCCAAAGCACAGCTTAGAGTTAACAAATCAATCACTTGCTCACTAAATCTGTTATTCAACTCTTGCAATTGTTTGTCAATAGTAGTGACAAATATTTCAAATCTAAAACAATGCCCAATGATTACCTGGTTTTCTTCAAGACGAGAACGACCAAATCTTGTTGTTGAATGGACATCCTTAAGATCAGAAATCTCAATATCATGCTTTTCACAAAAAGACTTCACAATAGCAAACAACTCATCCCAACCGATTTCTCTTAATTCTTGAATAATATTTTTTGTTGAACAAATCAAATGCATAGTATTAACTACATCTTGAGATTGTTGTTGTAAAGCTTGACAAATCATATTTGTGATCCCCATAATTTCTTTCATCAAATGCAATATAAATATGAAATCAAATGACTTCAAATAATTATAAGCACTATCAGCATCTCCATGTGAAGCATAACACAGTCATTCCTTTGCAAATTCTTTTTAAACATAACAAGTTGCTTCATACATATTTATCAAGTTATAACTATAAGAGAAATGTGATCCCCAACGAGTATCCCTTGCTCGCTTCAAAGTACCAATTTGATTTTCATATTTACTAGTTACAATCTCACCAATCTCTAATAAATGTTAATTTCATCTAATTGGGAAGCTTGTAACTCGTCACGACGCTTTGTAGAAGAAAAAAAACATTTACAATTAAAGTCAGCTTCTCAAAAAATTGATGATTTGATTTAACTTCTCTTAATTCAGTAACCAAAGTAAGTGCAATCGATGAGCAAATAATGAACATAATATGCATAAGGACAATTCTTCATAAATAGTGCTTGTAAAACATTCCATTCTCCTCTCGTATTGCTAGCACCATCATACCTTTGACCATGAATGTTAGAGACATCAAGGTTATGCAGAGAAAGTATATCACAAATTTTTTGCTTAAGAGTTAAAGACGTAGTGTCATCAACACGTGCAAGGCCAAAAAATCTATCTTATATAAAACCATCTTTATCAAAAAATCTCAAAACAAGATACATTTTCTCCTTTTTTGATTCATCATGCACTTCACTTACAATTATACAAAATTTGGAATCACCAATTTCTTCATGCACATACTTTTCACCCTATATGAAAGAATGTGCAAGATCTCTTCTTGAATTAGATGTGAAGTATACTTGTATTAGATGGAGCATTTTCCAACACAAATTTTTCAACTTCAACATTTTAACATGCTAAGAGTTTTATCAATTCAAGAAAATTACCTTGGTTTAATGATTTTGTACTTTCATCATGACCTCTAAAAGCACACGCTTGAAAAGTTAACCAACGAACAATGTCAATTGAAGTCTTGAGACGTAGTCAATTATTCACAATTTCAATTGAACCTTGAGCTTGAACAATATTCCTAATATAACCATCTTGGTTCAACAAGTCTTGACAAGCTTTCATAACATTGTTTTGTGGTGAACAAGGATCTTTCCCTATGTGTTTAAGAAATGCAGAATTCTTTCCATTTCTAACTTTCTTCCAACCTCTAAAACCTGTAGAAATGAAGACATTGGAACCAGGACGTCCACTTAGTCTTTGGATAAAAAGATAACATGGTAAGCAATAAGCGTCATCTTCTGAAGGTAAATATTCTAGCCATGAAGGAAAAAGGCTAAACCAAGCGTGTTGAAAACGTCTTTGATGGTCTTCTTTACTAGACCATGGATATTGCTCTAAAAGCATTTGATATAGACCTTATTTTAAACAAGCTCTTCGTATTTCCTCCATTTGATTTACATGATATCCCCATATTGAACGATGTTTTCCAGGATCACGTTCTAAAGAGTTCTCAATGTCATCCGAACAAACTCTATTAACATTTTCTTCAATTCTTGGATTCTCAAGAACTCTTTGACGATCAGATATAAGTGTTAAATTCTCTTCATCTACTTCTTTCCTATTAAAAAAGAATCAATTTTTCTACTCTTCATTATCAATTTTGTGCTGCATAATCAGTCCCAAATTCTAACACAACACAACACAACAAAATTCCAAAGTTCACTAAAATTCCAACACAACACAACACAACAAAATCCCAAAACTATTTAAATTCACAATACTACTTACAAGTTATAACCAGTCTTAGGCCAAATTTCAATACAAGACAACATAACAAAATCTTAAAATTCTCTAAATTCTAACACAACATAACAAAATCCAAAATTCTCTAAACTAACATTTGTTTATCAGAATGAGAAAGGAAACCTAACATTTGTTTTGCAAGAGGATAAATTTATTATTTAGAAACACAAATTTAATTTTCAGAAACAAAATCTTACTCAATTGGAAGCAAGTTACATGAACAAGATGGAATGTTGAAGTAAATTTGTGGTGGTCTTCGGCGGTGCACATGGGTGGTGGGTTCCATTTCTTTCTCAAACAACTTGCTCCTGCTTCTAGAAGTTGAACAATATAGAGAGAACTAGAATGAGAACAAACAAATGTTAGGGATTTTTTTGGTTTAATGGAAATTTTATTATTTTTAATTTTAATTAGGGGTAATTTAGTATTTTCACAATATAAAAAATGAAATTCTGGCAGGCATAAAAAATGAAATAGGAATATGCACTCTTTCACGGTGGAAGAATTTGAAGTGGATTTTACTGTCAGTTCGAGGAATATTAAACCAAGTTTCTATTATAAGATCTTAAAGGTTTATAGACTTGTCATCGACATCGTCTTGAGCTCCAATGCGAAGATTACTATCTCGATTGTCAAGATTCGGAGTTTAATGTAATCAAGATTTCAAACTCCAAGTGCAAACCATTTATTTTGTTATTATGGCCTACACTGATTCGGGAGTCCATCTCTAAAGAATAAGGTTTTTGTTTCCAAGATTGAACCCAAAATGTCGTGAAATGCAAGAATCCTTATAAAAGTTCATGTTGAAATTCATAAATTCCATTTGTTTCCTCAAGTAGTATTCATGGATTCAAAACACCAAAGTTACAACATATTCCATACATTCAAGATTATAATCTATTTGGATTATTTTGTTACAAGTTTCTAATTTCTAATCTTAATCCTAAAGACTATCTTCAAGCTTCATAAGAACCTGCAAAACCACAATTGAACAAAGTCAGAAAAGAAGTCAGAATCATTAAAATGTTAAGGGTTTTGGAACTTAATTTCCAACCCTCAGATTATGGAATCATCATCGGGTTCAGAGGGGTAACAAAGAATTGCTACCAAACTTCCATTGTTTTTCCAGCAGCATCAAGTGACTAAAACCAAGGGAATAAGATGTTATGTCCATGAAATAAGAATAAAGGATTTTTTTAGAAAAATTGATTTTTCTGTCCAAACAGCCCACATGAGGAATTCGAGAATGGATAAGGTTCCAATGAACAATCAAATCTGAAACAGCATCCAACATAGCATCAATAATCATAAACAAGTATGGATACCACCCATGTTAACGGTTCCGAAAATGGAAAGAAGAAGACAACATAATATCTTCACCATTAAAAATCCAAAATTCGAAAATGATATCTTCACCATCAATACAGCCATAAACCAAAACGAAAATCAGACAACATTAATCATCATAAACGAAAATGAAAACCCAACAGAGCCATCAAGAACAAAATAAATCTGAAAAGGGAAAAATCACCAACATGTTAAAACATGTTACTTTTAAAAAGGAAATTGATTTACTCCTTCAAAACGGTTTTAAGAAAGAATGATATAAGAAGAGAGTGAAAGAACAGTAACCGCATGGATAAAAAAAATCACCGAAAAAATCATTGGGTCGAAAATCAAAACGAAAATCAAATCCACAAACCCAGATCTGCAAACCATCCAAAAGGCCATCCAAAAAAACAACCAAACGAGGCTAAAAAAAATCATCATAAAACCGCAAAAATCCAAGTTGTCATCCACCATAGGGCTCAGTTTCCATCATTTCCCCATAACCCAAATCCGTAAATCGCAACACAACAAACCGTCAAACATCAACGAACAACAACCCACAAGCCGCGTGACTCAGAGATGAGGAGGAGAGCCTCATCTTCATCATCATCACACAAACACCCGCAAGCCACTACAAATCTACCACAATCTAAAACACATTGTAAGCATCCATCATTAACATCTCTGGTTTTGTTGTTCGTGTTTCAGATTAAAGTGAAAAGAAGAAGATAAATCGCAGCTGGAAAAGAGAGGAAGAGATTGTTTTTGCGAACGAAAAGAAGAAGAAAGAATCGCGCATGAAAGAAGAGAGGAAGGGACGAAAATCCGAGAGAGAGGGGAAGAGGATCTGAGCGCCGTTTGGCCTCTTGGGGATTTAGGGTTTCTAAAACCCATTCCTTCCCCCTTATACGTGACCGGGTCGAGTCTGGGGGTGATGACTGTAACACCCTTATTCTACCCCACAGATATTACGGCAAAATAACACGGATTTCAGAGTAAAATATTAACTTTCATTAAAAAGCCACAAAAGGGCATACATTCTCAAAGTCAACAAAATTGGTCAATACTCCGTAACACACGGGTTTTCTCAAAATACATCAAAACATCATATACAGCGGAACTCAAAACATAACTCAATGTTTTCCTCATAAGGGAACATCGGTAAAATAACCCAATGATATACAAGCAACTCAAAGAACCCAACCCGATGTTACATATCAGAGCAAGACCCTCTAAATTAACCATAGAGGTTAACGACTCTAAAACTTCAAAATACTCCTCGACGGCGTCCACGGCTAAACTTGTTCATCTGCATGTTACCCACGTGGAGGTAACATTCAAACAGGCAGGGTGAGTAAGACAATTCATAATAATCAATGTATAACAATTAATGCATAAACGACATATTACTCATAATTACATTCAACACATTGATATCCTTCAAATATGCCTCAAAGGCCATAACGTCATAATTCATACACAAAGACTCATAGATGCAATGTGACACAACTCAATGCATGTGGTACCAATCATCACAATGTGATGGACACTGGGCCATCAACCCTCCGTAGATCCCCATCAATAGGATCGGAGCACGTCAAAATACTTCACATCCACACAGTGGGATTGAAGCCAAAGTAATCGAGGTCTTGAACCGAAGTCCGGATGCACATGAATGCATGATGCACACGTCATAATAATCCTCATAATAACAACATACGGTGCATCATAATTCATCATATTCATCATATTCGTCATACTTCATTACTCATCATATTAATCATCAATACAGCATATCATCATAATTCATCATATTACTCATCATGCAACATATCATCATAATTCATCATATTATTCATCATACAACATATCATCATAATTTATCATATTAATCCTTCTCACACACCATGTCATCATATAATCACATATAAATCACATATTAGCTCATAGTCATATTATCCCATATTAATTCATAATACTATCCCCATATCATCTCATATTAATTTATCAACTTATACTCACGGTAATCCTTACACTATCGCCTATCAATCACATAAACTTCACAGTTCTACTCATGTTAATTCATCATATCATCACATAGTATTCACATATTAATCCTTAATATCATCTCATATTGCTTCATATTAATTCATCATAATTCCACTCGCGGTAATCCTCATACTATCACTTATTACTCATGCAACCTCACTGTTATACTCATAGTAACTTATCACAGGAATCCCAGAATCAAACATCACGACATCGCTGCATGTTAGATGCCAAATTTCACTTATTTGATCTATCAAATGTTGGCATTTTTCACTCATTTTTGTCATGAAAGAGTTGGAAATCACTCTTGTTTTGTTTGGTTTGCAATATATTGTGAAAATCTCTTGGTACCTTTAATTTGTGTGTTATTATGCAGGAATTATGCACAAAACAAGTGAAAAGCAAGACACAAGAAATGGGCAAGGAAACCAAGACAATATGAAAAACCAACAAAATGATGTCATGCTCGATAGGAGAGCTGGTAGCGAGCAGGGTAGCGAACGATCGCTAGCTGCTCGCTAGGCGAGAAGGCCAGCGAACGCGCCCAGAATTGGACAGTGCCAAAAGTACCAAAATTCGTTGGAGCGAATGAAGTAGCGAAGGCTTCGCTAGCTGTTCGCTAGGCGAGCAGGTAGCGAATGCTCCCAGATCCTAAACGTGTATTTAAGTGTTTTTACTGTTTTTTTAGGTCAGAACTTTCAGAACTTCATTTTGTAACATTTCCAATAGCAGAACTTATCTCTCTTCATTTCTTCTAGAGAGAGAAACATAAAACCCTAAGAGGGAGGAGGTAAGATCTTCGATCTCTTGTTGGGGTTTGGATTGTAATCTTTTGATACCTTATGTATTTCATCTAATTTATGTTTGTGAACTAGTTTGGATTCTCTATTGATTGATTATCTTTGATTATGTATTTGTGGGTCTTGACCAAACCTTTTCACATCTTTGATCTCAGATTTTCTTCTATCAATGAACAAACTTTTGACATGGTTTTGAAGTTGATATTCATTTTATCCTCTATGGTGTTATGTTGATTAAGTAGCATGGATAGGATCAACATGATATTGTGTGGGTATGTGATAATATTGATGAAGAACGATGTTCACCGACATTTGGCGGATTAGATGAATACATGTAAAAAGGGTTAAGCGTGTTTACGTATTTTGATCATTGTATTTCATGCAAAACAATCGTTTATCCGATATGGGTGTTATCCTTGCTTA